TATATATATGTATGTATGTATGTATATATTTACATATAAATAAATAAAGTTAGTCCTTACAGTTTTTCAGTGTTTATTCATTTTAAATTGGGTTTTAGTAATTCTGTATCTGTAATTTTTATTAGTTTTTCTTTTTAAATGTTTCTATTAATCTTTAATTTATTTTTATTTCAGTTTCAGCTTTAGTAACTTTTGTACTTCAACCTAAACTTCTTTTATTTCACTTAGTGCCTGTTTGTAATTGTTTTTTTTAACCTAATATCTATATTTTATTATATTTCAACCTTGTTTCAAATAACAAAAATATATAAAAGTGGTCCATATGACTTTTGCTCTATGTATAAAATATTTTTGTGTGACTGAAATTGAAGTCATTTACTGAAGAATATGGCTTGACAGCGGTCGTGTAACGTGTTGCTGCTGTTTAAATCAAGTGCTCACGAAGGAGTAGGAGAAAAGGGTATTTAATTACAAATACAGGTCATCACTATTCACTTTTATTTTTATATATATATATATATATAATCCGATGTCATGATTGCATTGTTGATATTAGCTCCTGATGTTAGCATTATTCTATTAGCACATATGTTTTGTTTTTTAGGTTACTGTGAGTGACCACGACGGATCTCCTGCCCGTAATATTCCTCTTAAAATCAGTTTTTTTGAAAGCCCAATGACCGCAAACAGCGGCACCATCAAAGTCTCCATCAACATGCCTGAAATGTTCAGCTCACAGATACTGAAAGTAAGTCACTCCCAGAAACATATAGAGAAACAATACAAAATTGTTTATAACTGTCAGCTGAATGTATGTATTGATGTATAGGTTGAGACAGCAGATCCTTCACTGAAACCAGAACAGCAGGCCATTCAAGAGATGCGTGTGGAGCCATATGCCTCTTTTAATGACTACAGGAACTACCTGCACATCTCAGTGGGCAGCAGTCGAGTGGTGGTGGGCGACACATTCAACGTTCAAGCTCACATCAAATCTAACTCACCAGAACGAAAAAAACTTGTGGAGCAGCTGACGTATGCCGTGAGTTTGTGACTGGGGACATTTTGGGATGACAATTACTGGAATCTCAGAATTAATAACACTTATGATGGTTCCTGTAGGTCTTAAATAAGGGAAACATAGTCCATGCTGTTAGGATGAATGTCAAAGACCTGGATGTCATAAACATTCCTCTGCTGGTTACCTCAGAAATGCTACCTGCATTTCGCTTTGTGGCCTACTACATTTTGCCATGGCAACACAGGGCGGAAGTGGTGGCCGACTCTGTGTTTGTGGATGTGGAGGACCGGTGTGTAGGTTCGGTGAGTTTATGTGACATCCATGATCAATTATTAACATAATAAAGATGCACATTCTAGCACTTTATGGTACATTTTGGGGTCAGTCACTGAAAATTTTTATTTTCATTAGGTTTTTATTATTATTATTCTCCTACCACGAGAGTCTAATCTTGGCCTAATACAACGTAAATGGGCATTTTGAATTTTGAAAAACACATATATTATTATTTTTTTCCAGTTCATTTATATGTTTTTGATAAAAATTCAGATAAAATGTTAAAAAAGAGAATTAAATAGAAATAAAATACTAAAAAGTAAAATGTATTTTTTTTTAAAGAAAAATGATTCTATCTCATCTCCTTCAAGCCATTTCTCCTTCAGTTATACATGTTCTCACTCACATCATTAACACATCCCTTGTTACTGGTGTTTTTTTCTCTCTGCGTAATAATAAAACGGGCTCAGATAACCCTGCTACTTAAAGTGCCCCAATTATGGATTTTTGAAAATTACCTTTCATGCAGTGTATGTATGACACAGCTCTAAGTGAATGAAAACATATTGCAAAGTTTTAAATCTGAAAGTGCGCCGTGTATAAAGTTATTGTCTCTCAAAAGAAAGAGTCGACTCTTCAAATCATTGAAACGAGTCGTTTTTAAAACCAATCCCAAGTCATTTCATATTGATGTCAACATGAAACATTAGCATATTGCCCGCCCACTTGTTGGTCTTTTCGCATTGGTCTGAATGAAAATGCAAATGCATTCTTTGCCACTATGGTGAGGCTTTTGGAGTGGTAAAAATAGCGGTTTCCCCGGTAACGCTGTATACAAAACAGCACTGCGCTCACAAATGCTGCTTTATCAGGCATTACAGGCATGATGAAATGAACATTTGTATTTATTCTCATTTGTAAGTCGCTTTGGATAAAAGTGTCTGCTAAATGACTAAATGTATATGTAAAATTAGACCAATCGGACCAATCACCACAGATTAGCTTCACACAAAGGAGGGGTTTGGAAAAATTAATTGTTGAGCGAATAGCTTGGGAGTCATTGAGCAAGTAAGGTAAAAATAAATACATATTATAAGACAATGAAAGTGTTTTTTGACCTTGCATGCATGTCAACCTGTTGTTGGGGACTCGCAAAACCAAAATATGAACCTTTCATAACCCATAATAGGGGCACTTTAAGAAACCCACTCTTATCCCAGCACTATTAGAAAACTACAGACTGGTATCCCTTCTTCCTTTCATTGCAAAAACACTTGAACGAGTTGTGTTCAACCAAGTCTCAGCCTTTCTCACACAGAACTACCTTCTGGACAGCAACCAGTCTGGCTTCAGATGTGGACATTCAACCAAGACTGCCTGCTCTTGGTTGTTGAAGCCCTAAAACTGGCAAGAGTGGTTTCCAAATACTCAATACTTATCTTGCTGGATCTGTCTGCTGCTTTTGACACAGTTAACCACCAGATCCTCCTGTGAACCCTCATGGCAAAGGGCATCTCAGGAACCGCACTCAAGTGGTTTGAGTCTTACCTCTCAGATAGGTCCTTCAAGGTGTCTTGGAGGGATGAGGTGTCCAAGTCGCAACATCTAACTACTGGGGTGCCTCAGGGCTCAGTTCTCAGACCACTTCTCTTCTCTGTCTACATGGCATCACTAGGTTCTGTCATTCAGAAACATGGCTTTTCTTATCACTGCTAGGCTGATGACACTCAACTCTACCTCTCATTCCATCCTGATGATCCGACGATAGCTGCTTGAATCTTAGCATGTCTAACAGATATTTCTTGCTGGATGAAGAACCATCACCTTCAACTCAACCTTGCCAAGACAGAACTGCTTGTACTTTCAGCCAACTCAACACCTCATCAAACTCAATTTCTCCATCCAGCTAGGCACATAAACCAAAACGCCTTCCAGGGCTGCATTTCCCAAAAGCCTACAATATTAGGAAGAAGGCCCTTTCTGTCGGGACATGCTTCACAACTCCTTGTTCAAGCTCTTGATCTGTCCAGGCTGGACTATTGCAGTGCTCTCTTTGCAGGTCTTCCAGCCAATTCTGTCAAACCTCTGCAGCTAATCCAGAATGCGGTAGCAATAGTAGTCTTTAACGAGCCGAAAAGAGCGCATGTCACACCTCTGTTCATCAATTTTCACTGGCGACCAATAGCTGCTTGCATAAAATTCAAGGCATTGATGTTTACCTACAAAACAACCACTGGCTCTGTTCCCCTTTACCTAAATTCACTACTTCAGACTTATGTGCCCTCCAGAAGCTTGTGTTCTGCAAGTGAATGGCACATTATATTACACTATCCCGAAGAGACACTAAATCACTTTCACAAACTTTTACCTTAACTGTTCCCTACTGGTGGAATGACCTGCCCAGCTCAATCCGAGCAGCTGAGTCTTTAGCCATCTTCAAGAAACGGCTAAAGACACATCTCTTCCATTTACACTTGACCCTCTAACACTAGAACTCTCTCTTCTATTTCTATTCTATCTACTTGTTTTCTTTTTAATTATTAGGGGAAAAAAATGTTAATCCTCTAACACTAGCTCTATCCTATCTCTTTTCTATCTACTTTTTATTATTTTTATTTATCATAAAAAAAACTTGTCACACCATGTATATTGTTGCTATTTTGTTGTTTTGATTGCTTCTATTGTCCTCATTTGTAAGTCGCTTTGGATAAATGTAAATGTAAATATATTTTCAATACATTACCATTCAGATTTAAAAATAATAATTATAATATTTGTATTCAGCAAGGTTGCATTAAGTTGATAAAAACATATACATGCTGTATATTGAACTTTCTATTTATCAAAAATCCTGAAAAAAGTATAACAGTTTCCTCAAAAATGTTAAGCAGCACACCTGTTATCAATTTTGAATCTGAAAGTTCAGCTTTGCCATCACAGGAATAAATTACATTTTAAAATATATTACAAAACATAACAGCAGTTTGAAAGTGTAATAATATTCCACAATATTACTGTATTATACTATATTTTCCATCAAATTTTTAATCAAATAAATGCATCCTTGGTGAGCATAAGAGGCTTCTTGTGACCCCAAACGTTTGAATAGTGATGTATATAAATAGTTAAATAAATAATAATACAAAAAAGACTATAAATATTTAAAAGAAAAATGTCATAGTAGCAGTAATATTAAATTATGATTTATGAACCAAATATTTATTATATTAGTTTCAAAACATATCATAGATGTGTCTCAGTGAAACATGTTGTTCAATAGTGTAAGTAATTCTGCTTCTGGCTTTTAAACCACTTTTTCAAAAAAATCACCAAAAAAGGCCATATCAGTTTAATGTCATAATTATTGCTTGCATTTATATTTATTTATATTTCATTAGTATGCAAAATTGTAGTTTACTGTGTTTGTGATTGTATTAGCTTAGTGTAGGTCCAGTGGAGGGAGAAAAGCTCAATTCATACTCCCCAGGCAGCAGCATTACATTTGAAGTGAAAGGAGACCCGGGGGCAAAGGTCAGCCTGGTTGCTGTGGATAATGCCATCTTTCTGTTGAGTAAAAACCGTCTGACGCAGAAGAAGGTAAGTGATTATATAGTTTTCACTCCAGAACCTTCTCCAGAGCCTGGTGGATACTCATGTCTCTTTCGTTCAGGTGTGGGAGGTGGTGGGTCAGGGTGATATGGGCTGCACCGCGGGAGGAGGCAGGAATAATATGGCTGTTTTCAGTGACGCAGGACTGATGTTTTATTCCAGCACAGGAGGATACACGGACATAAAAGGTCCTTCACACATACACAAAATTAACATTTAATATATTTCTTCTAAAATAAATTGAATTACTATGGAAGCTTGTCTCACAATTCAGACTTTTCTTCTCGGAATGCTGCAATTATATATCGCAATGCTGTGTTTAATAATTCAGAAATGTGAGAAAAAAGTCTCAATCATAAGGGGAAAGAATGGCAGTTACATTTTTTATTTATTTATCCCTTGGCAGAAACAAGCTTCCATAAATTACACTACCACTCAAAAGTTTTGGGTTAGTAAAATTCGTAAAATGTTTTTGATTTCTGCATTTATTTGATCAAAAATCCAGTAAAACAGTAATATTGTGAAAAATTATTGCAGTTTTAAAATGCAACTTATTCCTGTGATGGCAAATCTGAATTTTCAGGATCATCACTCCAGTCTTCAGTGTCACATGATCCTTCAGAAATCATTCTAATATGCTGATTTACTGCTCAAGAATTTTCTTAACATTTGCTTAACATTTTTGTGGAAACCATGATATGTTTTTCTTCGTTTGATTTATTTGAAGTGGAAATCTTTTGTAACTTTATAAACATCTTTACTGTCACTTTTGATTAATTTAATTATCAATGTAATGCAACTTTGGTGAATATGAGTGTTAATTTCTTTAAAATAAAATCATACTGACCCCAAACTATTGAAAAGTAGTTTATATAAAACAAATCAAAAGCTTCAAAGCTAATGAGGATAGCAGCAACACAAATGTATCATCAAAAATCCAGAAAGAATATATTTCTTTGGCAATACGCTGGCCTAGGTTGCACATGCTGTTAGTTAATAGATTGGTTAATGTTAACTATTAGCCATATAGCTTTAGGCTACAGTTGCTATACAGCCAAACATTTGCCAATAGTTAACAGAATAATTTATTGTCAGTTAAGGTTAGTATATTGTTACGGCAGTGATAGCGAATATCATTGGGATCATTGCTCTTGAGGGTGAACTTGACCTTCAGCATCCACATTCCAGTCACCATACTGGTTTCAAACTAGTTGATTAATGGGACGAAATGTTCATCCTCTCCATTGTGATTGTGACTATAAACTTGCAGTCAGTCTAGTTCGAATTGTCTCATTACCAATCCAATGAACTCCCAATGGACAAAATCAAGACTCCTCTTACATTTATGTCACAAATACAACACAAAATGGAAGTCAAATGGTTTATGAATGCAAATGTTGGTTTATACACTTTTAAACATAAAGGTTCCAAAAGGGGTTTTTACTGTAATGCCACAGAAGAAAATGTTTTGGTTCCCCAAAGAACCTTTCAATAACAAGTTCCTAAAAGAGCCAATTTTTCTTATTGGAATATCCTTTTAAAATCTAAAGAACCTTTTGTGCAATTGAAAGATTCTATGGATGTTAAAGGTTCTTCATGGAAACCATCAATGCCAATAGAACCTTTAATTTCAAGAGTGTATTTTCTTTGGTTTATTTGGAATAGATTGCTCCAGCAGGTCTAGAAGACGACGTTCTGCTGCCAAACTGCAGCTCAGAGAGCAACTGGGTGAGTCTGTCATTATTACCAAAAGTTTGGTATGTTACAGTTTGTTAGAGAAGTGGAGATATGAAAGTGTTAGCAAAAGTGCTAGCTAAATGTAAGCTAATGTGCTAAGTCATCCTAAACATGTTCTTTTCTCTCAGAGAAGGTATATTCGGATCAGTTCCTGCAGAGATGTTGCGTGGATGGCATGAGGGAGATTCCCATGCCGTATTCCTGCTACCGTCGCTCCCTCTACATCACCGAGGACTGGAGCTGCGTGTTGGCTTTCCTTCGCTGTTGTGCGGAGTACAGAGGGGAGGAGCTTGGTGTCGTTACCAGGCCTCCGACAACCACCCTTCCACCACCCACCACCAGCGCCTACAAGTTTCACATGGATTATTTTGAGGAACGTGTTCTTTTCCGAGCTCCTGCCAGGACAGAGCTTTTCGGTCTTCCTGGGCGTATGGGATCTCCTCCCATCCTTGAAATTATGGGAATGTCCTCCATCCTTGAAGTGCGAGAGGACAGTTATGATGAAAACATCAGAGAAGAAGAAGAGGAGGAGGTGGAAGCGTTCGATGAAGATGATTTAGCTGACTTGGAAGACATTTACGTGCGCAGCAAGTTCTTCGAGTCGTGGCTGTGGACTGACATTAGATTACCCAGCGTTCCCAAGTCTGATGGGTAGGAGTTTGGCCTTTGGCCTCTGTATAGACGTCCCACTTTTATGATGTTCATAGATAGAAGTGTCTCTCCATGCTTTTATTCCAGATTGGCTGTACTTCCAGTGAACACCGTTCTTCCTGACAGCATCACTCAGTGGGGGTTTCTAGCCGTTAGTGCTTCACCTCAGACAGGTAAACAGCTCTGTCCATTTGTCTGTGTGGCAGAGCTTCTTCAAAACCACAGATAGCAGAATCTAAATTTCTTGCACTCTTTTTCTAGAGCAGCCAAACAACAAATCACAATTGCTTTTATACCACTTCTATAAGCTAGAATAGAATACAGCCAATATTGTATACTTACAACCGATACAGATTGTTTTTATGTGTTTTACGTGTCAAATAACTGATATGCAGAATCAATGTTAAATTATTTTATTTCGGTCACAATGATAACTAAATAATTACAATCAAAAGATATGAATTGCAAATGAATTAAGAGTATTTAAATAATTATTTAACTTTTAATAGTACATGTTTAGCATTTTTGCATATGACCTATAAATATATTAACATTTATTTAGATATTAATACACCATTGAATGAATTATGCATATTTTATTAATAATTATTTAGCTTTAGCTTGCTGTCAAGCATTTCTGCATATGAATTATGAATATTTTGGTAATAGTTATTGAACTTTTAATGCTGAATGTGAAGTAGTACATATGAATTACAAATTGTATTATTACATATTTATTGTTACATTTGATTATTATTAATTAATTTGCTTTTAATACATGTCAAGCATTTCTGCATATAACTTATGAATATTTTAATAATAATGATTTAGCTTTTAGTGTGACATGTCAAGTCTATCTGCATATGAATTGCAAATAGTTTTTATTAATAGTTATTTAGCTTTTAATGCAACATTTTGAATGTGTCTGCATATGAATTACAAATATTTTATTAATAGTTTATTAATATAAAAAATGCTGCATGTCAAGCATTTCTGCATATAAATTAAAATTGTATTAATAGGTACTAGTGTTTAATAAATGTTTTAAAATATTAACAACAACATTGACAAGAAAAATAAATAAAAAGTTATGCATTTGGCTGTATAATTTTAGTAGCTTTAAAAAAAAAACTTATAAAAAAGGAATTGTCAAAGTGATTGTCTGAGAATGAGATTATTCCTGGTTTGTGACCGTCTTACAGGTTTCTGTGTGGCTGAGCCATATAACGTCCGGGCGTCAAAGCCGTTCTTCATAGACCTGCGGCTGCCTCACTCAGTGTCCAGAAATGAACATGTGGAAATCAAAGCTGTGGTACACAACTACAGGAACTCAAAACTGGAGGTCAGCTTCACACCATCACAAAACAATAACCACTTGCCCTCTTCAGTTTATTTGTGTCCCGACCTGAACACTGTGTTTGTTTGCAGGTCATGGTGATTCTGGAAAAGACAGAGGACATGTGTAGCGTGGCATTTAGTGGACAGCACAGACAGCAGGTTTCGGTACCGGCCGGCTCCTCCAAGCTCATTTCATACACCATGATCCCTCTTAAAACAGGAGAGCTCCCCCTACAGGTCACTGCGGTTGCGGCCTCCTTCATGGGGCAGGATGCAGTGAGGAAGAATCTGCGTGTGGTAGTAAGTGAGCTCCAAAAACCTGCTCTATCTTGGGTCTCACGCATAATATTGAAAATATATTATATTAGTATATTGCTTGGTACATGTGTGTTTTTTGAAGCATTGGTGCACAATAACTGTGGTATATGATGTTATATCTTGTATTTTAGGTCGAAGGCATTCAGACTATTAAAGTGAGGAGCTTTGTGCTGAACCCCTCTGAGAAAGGAGACAGCGGTAAGACTGGCTGGAAATAATGAGTTTAATTGTGATCAATGTAATGACAAAAAAATCAATGAAATATTTTTTTTAAAAGTTGCCTTCGTAATATCACACTTTATACTGGTTTTACATTTTTAACAGTTTTATATAAATTTAATAAGATTTAAGATATCAATATTTAATAAGATGATAATTATAACTATATGACACTATAAATGGGTCTTTAAGCATGAAAGCATAATATATAAAAAGTGTTTGTGTTTATATATATATATATATATATATATATATATATATATATATATATATATATATATATATATATATACAGTGTGCATATATATATATAAAATTTCTTAGAACTATATACAGAAAAAATATCTTTATAATATCACACTTTAAACTTTTTACCACAGTGTGCTACACAGTATATATGGGACTTTATGCATGAAATATATATATATAACTATATGTAATAAAATAATATTAATAAAAAATTTACATTGTAAAAAAAAAAAAAAAAAAGTATTTATAATTTGAAAGTCATTAAAAAGTATACTGCCGAATCTCACAGAATTTGGCAAGTTTAGCCATGTAACGATACTAGTATCTGTCTGTATAAGTTTCATGATTTCATGCTTTTTGATTACTAAAATTTAATTTATTTAAAATAAAATAAAATGGATTTCATAAGGCCCCAATATCCTTACACAGGGACTCTCTCTCTCTCTCTCTATATATATATATATATTAGCAATACACAATATCACACTCTTAGCCATGCGATATGGCTGTATATCAGCAAGGCTGTGATTACCTGTGGCCTCGTGCCTACAGCCGAATCAGAGCCGTGCTGATATACAGCCATATCGCACGGCTACGAGTGTAATATTGTGTTTATACAACAGTTCTATGGCAAAAGTGTGTAAATAAAAAAGAGACAACGTGTCTTTAAAAACCCTCTTTAGTGCAGAACTACTTCCTTCCGCCACAGATTCAAATCTGATGACAGCGCTGTTCAGTGCATTTGTTGGTTGTCTAACAAGGTGTTGTTGAAAGTAAAAATAACTTCCTGAAACAACCCTGTTTCAGTGCACGGCTACGAGTGTAATATTGTGTTTATACAACAGTTCTATGGCAAAAGTGTGTAAATAAAAAAGAGACAACGTGTCTTTAAAAACCCTCTTTAGTGCAGAACTACTTCCTTCCGCCACAGATTCAAATCTGATGACAGCGCTGTTCAGTGCATTTGTTGGTTGTCTAACAAGGTGTTGTTGAAAGTAAAAATAACTTCCTGAAACAACCCTGTTTCAGTCTCTTTCAATATAAAAGTCTTTACTGCTGACTCTGTCTCATCACCATCTAATGTAAAATCACCGTCACGAACACGTTCTCAATACTAAATGTATATAAAAATGTATATAAAATATTATTTATTGAATAATAATATTTAATAAACAACAACAACAGGCAATTCAGTCAAAAGTACAAAGGCAGCGCTCTAATATACTGCATTAAAGTTACATAAAATACGTGATGAGATTTTGCCCTCATCCAAAACTATTTGCTCTGGAACAAATAATAGATTAATGAGACCAAAGACTGCCCATTAGATTTATTCAAAACGACTGATAATTTTTAGCCACTATAGAGACATCAGAGCCAGCGGCGAATTCCAGAAGATCTGGCCGAGGTGAGGCTGCTCTCGGCGGGTTCATGAGCGCTGAACGGCCGCTGACGCCCTGCAGCTCACATCTCCAAAAATGTTGAATCAAATTTTCAAATAGACGTAATCTTTATTAACAAACTGCATATTTTAAGTCTAAACAAGTACATTCTTGCCTAAAAAACTCTAAATAAAAACTACATTCTGTGACACAAAAACAGTATTATAAATAAAGTTACAGTGGATTTGGCCGTCCGCCATGACACTCGCTGTGAGAAATACTGCAAGCGGAGTGATATAAACGATGAAACGGTTCCGATATCACTAGAATATCGCACTCCTGGAAAAGGCTCTCAGCCAATAGATATTTTTGAAATATATATATAAACAATATATAGTATAGCTTTTGTTTATATTTTTATTATTTATGTGTTATCTATCTTTCTATCTATCTATCTATCTATCTATCTATCTATCTATCTATCTATCTATCTCTCTCTCTCTCTGTATATATATATATACAGTATATGTACTGTTTGTGTGTTTGTGTGTGTAATAATTCATTAATTATATGCTTTCATTTATATAATAATTATGCATTTTATTTATAAAGTGCTTTTACTCAAAAGTGCAACAGTACAAAAAATCATATAATAAAACATGCAAAATACAATAATACAAATAGATTGATAATCGGCAACAATAAGCAGATCAGATGTCTCTAATAAGTCCTTTGAGACCTCTTAAAACAGGCCTACACGGGGCAATTTCTGCATTTATTTTGTTATATATATATATTTGTTTATATATTTGTTGTTGTTAAGTGAAACATTTCCTTCATCTTAGCTGGTAGACAGCAGATAGAAGTGGAGAAGATGCAGTTGGACGCCGTTGTGCCAAAATCTCTGCCGGAGACATTTGTTAATGTCAGAGGTTTGACATTTTATTAAGCCATAATCAGAATTGTATAGTCATTGAGTATTAACTGTCAACTGCATTATGGATGTTTGATTGTCGTGTTGAGTTTTGTTTGTTCACATCAAGTACTGATCTGTAGGTTTTTAAAAAATATATAATTTCTTCAGGTGATTTGCTGGCAGACAGCATTGATAACTCTATTAAGGAGGACTCTCTGGCAGCGTTGATCCGGATGCCCGGCGGGTGTGTGGAGCAGAACCTGGCCAGAATCACGCTGCCCCTCATCGCCGCCCATTACCTGGACCGCAGTGGAAACTGGGACGCTGTGGGAATAGACCGCAGAGAAGAGGCCATCAAATACATCCAAAAAGGTGCAGTGAGACTTAAATAGGGATGAGCCCCCATTCCTTTAGATATTGATACAATAAATTATCTTTTTAACTTTTTTCATACTCAGGGTATGAAAATCAACTTAATTACCGGAAAAAGGATGACTCATATCCTCCCTATTCTAAAGAAGGCACCAGTACATGGTAATAATGCCGGCATGTTACTGATTACAGCTTCACGTCGAACATTTCCCTGTAGAGTTCATGTGTCTTTATGTTCTGTCCATCTCAGGATCACTGCATACGTGGTGAAGGTTTTCTCCATGGCAAAATCATTTATTAGCGTCGATGAGAAGCATCTGTGTGGTCCTCTGGTGTACCTGCTCAAGAATAAACAGCGCCCTGATGGATCCTTTCAGGAGGACAATCCTGTCTACGACACCAGTATGACGGTGAGAATTCATAACTGTGATTGCATTAATTGGAGTAGTTTCATAATAGTCAATGAAAGAGTACAGTACTAACATGCTGTGTTGTGATACAGGGAGGCCTGCAGGGCTCTGAATCCAGAGTGTCTCTGACCGCATTCGTGCTCATTGCTTTGGCAGAGGCACAAAATGCTGTTACCTGCCAAGAGCCAGACCTCAATATACAGGTAACTTCAGTCTTTAAAACTGCTAAAAACGTGAATTACACAACAAATAAATAGGACAATAGCTAGATTAAATCATTAGGACAATTAAAAAACGAAATAATTATTACAATAGCTAAATTAGATAATTAGGACAATAGCTAAATTAGATTATTAGGACAATAGCTAAATTAAATAATTAGGACAACTGATAAATTAAATAATTAGGACAAATATAAATTAAGTAGTTTGAATAAAAGCTAAATTAAATAATTATAACATAGCTAAATTAAATAATTGTGCTTATTTCCAATACGTGAAATAGACATAATATTAAATGTTATTATATAAACAGAAAATTAAGTTAAAATGAAATAACATTGTACAAAGTGAAGTTAGGAACATTTAGACATTTTCAAGAAAATATTTCCCAGATGCTTGCAAATTTCACCCAAAAAAGGAGTCCCATTCAATGTACACTCCTCACAATCCTGAAGGAGCAGAGACTGTCCAGCTTTTCAGTATTTTGAGTTCCTGAAGTATATTTCCCAGTTTTTATAATATTTAGTAAATAGACAAAGGTACAAAACTGATTCATGTCGTACTTCCAGGCCCACCGAAAAACTAATTTAATAAGTATTATAATTATTATTAATAATATAGTATAAAGTATTATAATAATAATTATTAATAATAATTATTATAATTTCTTTTTCTTCCCTTTTTTTTCTATTAGATAGACCTAAAATCCATTTCTTACTATGTGTCAGTAAGTTGTTGTTATTTTAGCATGTGTGTATTTTAGGATTACTGATAAACTAATGTACTTTGATTTGTATTAGTTATCTATTTTAGTTTTAGTTACAGTTGTAGTAATGTTGTCATTTTATTAGTTTTTTTTTATTATGTCTATATAGGCTTTTTATTAAGTTTTACTTTTATTTATTTTGAGTTATTTCAGTACTTCAACATACAAAATGGAAAGGAAATAATATATATATATATATTTAATGTATTTATATATATGTACATGTATATGTATATGTATATGTGTGTGGCTGTACATACACATGTAGTTGTTTTTTGGTGTTTGGCTTAGTGTTATGTTAGAATCATTATTATACTCATACCTTTTTGTTCTTTTAATATTTTTGAATTGTTTTTAGTTTTATTTTTTATTTCTTTAATTTAAATGTTGTAGTTTTGAAATGTTGTTGCATGCATTTGTCATTTTTATTTAATTTATTTCATTTTCTTAAATGTGTGTGTATATATATATAGTATTTATAGAGTTTTAGCTTTTAGTTTTAATTACTTTTTCTTATTTGTAAGTCACTTTGGATAAAAGCGTCTGCTAAATGAGTAAAAGTAAAAGTAATAACATATTTAAATACGTTTTTACATGTTCAGTGGTGCTAATTTTATTTTCTCCATTTGATCGTTGCAGGACAAGTCCAGAAAAGCAGCGGTGTATCTAAGAGAGCATTTCCCCCGACTGACGAGGCCGTACACAGCGGCTATAGCATGTTACGCTTTAGCTGTATCCAACCACGGCTGCATGAAGAGCATGTTACTAAATTTAGCCTCGCCTGGTACTTAGCCTTTGAAAACAAACTAAATATCTTACTTCTTGTTGGTCTTGTCTTTCTCATCTGTATTTTCTGTCAACAGATCGTACCCACTGGCCTGACTCTAGTAATTATTTCTTCACACTGGAAGCTACCGGCTACGCATTGTTAGCGCTGATCAAAGCTGGTCACATGGAAGAGGCAGCCGCCTCTTTTCGATGGCTGAATGAGAAGCGTGGCATTGGGGGAGGATACGGCTCTACTCAGGTAAAAACCACAAGAAAACCTTCACTAATTGTCTCATATCTGTATTTGAGGTACATTAATGACTGTTTCTCTCCCATCAGTCCACTATGGTGGTGCTACAGGCCCTGTCTGAGTACCTGGTGAAGAGGCCTCCTCCTGATGACCTCAATCTGTTGGTGCAGCTCAGTGTTCCTGGTCGCAGTGACGTACGCTGGACCTTCAATCCAAAAATTGCATATGTGGCCCGATCTTCACGGGTGCGTACTTCCAACTTTCAAACTCTCTTTTGTAGACAAATATGGAGTTATTATCAGTGTTGGGGTAACGCATTACAAATAATGTGAGTTACGTAATCAGATTACTTTTTCAATAATTAGTGAAGTAATGCATTACTTTTTAATTTACAAGAAAATATCTGAGTTACTTTTTCCCATGTATTGACTGACAGCTCTCCTATCCTCATGCTGAGAGAAATCAGGAGCAAGTGCAGAGGCGTTGTGTGCGCTGTGTAAACATGATGTTACTGTAGTTCTAGACTAAATGTCAACATGCATTTACTCATGTCTCTTGCACAAAAACAGATTCAGTATTCCTCAAAATGAATAAAAACAGTGCAATACAAACTCAGAATATGACGCAAACCTGCAATAATTAAATGCGTTAAATAACACAAATATCCTTTGTATTAAATCCCATTTTATTAACCAGTATCTTTACTGCTAATTTTTGATGATCCAATTCAACCATACTAATAAGCAAAAATTACTCTAGATATTTTTTTATTGCTAAAGAGTGTTTTCTTTCTTCTTATTCTGCTGATTCTGGACATCGGCCTGCCCACCGGCTTTGAGCCTGAAAACTCAGATTTAGAGTTGGTAAGACCAAACTCATGACATAATGTAGCATTACATTAGCGATAGCAGCTAATTCTGTAGCTAACTGTGTTGTAGCCTACCGAGACAGCATTTTAAGGCATACATGTGTGCTCTAGACATCTAACTTTGGGTTTAATTTAGGCTATCATGGAGAATTCCCATAATGCATTGCAACAAGCTACATCCAAAAAATTAGAAAAAAGTCGATTATAATGTTGATCATAAACATTATAATAAATGCTTCATGTTTCATTACCAGTGGACTTTTCTACCCAACATTTTTTGTGCTTTGTATTTTTATATTGAGTATTGCACATTTAGCTTCGCAACATGTTAAAGGGTTAGTTCACCCAAAAATTCTGTCATTAATTACTCACCCTCGTGTTGTAAGACCTTCATTCATCTTCGGAACACAATTTAAGATATTTTTGATGAAATCTGAGGGCTCTCTGCCCCTCCCATAGACAGCAATGTAACTACCACGTTCAAGGTCCAGCTGAGGGCTCTCTGACCCTCCCATAGACAGCAAGGTAACTACCACGTTCAAGGTCCAGAAAAGTACAAAGATGATCGACAAAGTAGTCCATGTGACATCAGTGTTTCAACTGTAAAGTTATGAAGCTACGAGAATACTTTTTTGCGGAAAGAAAACAAAAATAACGACTTTATTCCACATTTTCGTCTCTACTGCGTCACTTTGGACGCGCATTCACGACAGTATCATGGCGCGAGCGTGTTGCGGCGCTGACCCAGATCCGGCGTAATGACGTCATTACATGTAATGTCACTATGGAACATTATTGTGTTCCGAAGATGAACGAAGGTCCGGCTTTGAGCCTGAAAACTCAGATTTAGAGTTGGTAAGACCAAACTCATGACATAATGTAGCATTACATTAGCGATAGCAGCTAATTCTGTAGCTAACTGTGTTGTAGCCTACCAAGACAGCATTTTAAGGCATACATGTGTGCTCTAGACATCTAACTTTGGGTTTAATTTAGGCTATCATGGAGAATTCCCATAATGCATTGCAACAAGCTACATCCAAAAAATTAGAAAAAAGTCGATTATAATGTTGATCATAAACATTATAATAAATGCTTCGTTTCATTACCAGTGGACTTTTCTACCCAACATTTTTTGTGCTTTGTATTTTTATATTGAGTATTGCACATTTAGCTTCGCAACATGTTAAAGGGTTAGTTCACCCAAAAATGAAAATTCTGTCATTAATTACTCACCCTCGTGGTGTAAGACCTTCATTCATCTTCGGAACACAATTTAAGATATTTTTGATGAAATCTGAGGGCTCTCTGACCCTCCCATAGACAGCAAGGTAACTACCACGTTCAAGGTCCAGAAAAGTACAAAGATGATCGACAAAGTAGTCCATGTGACATCAATGTTTAAACTGTAAAGTTATGAAGCTACGAGAATACTTTTTTGCGGAAAGAAAACAAAAATAACGACTTTATTCCACATTTTCGTCTCTACTGCGTCACTTTGGACGCGCATTCACAACAGTATCATGGCGCGAGCGTGTTGCGGCGCTGACCCAGATCCGGCGTAATGACGTCATTACGTGTAATGTCACTATGGAACATTATTGTGTTCCGAAGATGAACGAAGGTCTTACGGGTTTCGAACAACATGAGGGTGAGTAATTAATGACAGCATTTTCATTTTTGGGTGAACTAACCCTTTAACTTCAAACTCTATTGAAATCAACTGTGACCCGAGTATGTTTGTGTGGTGAACAGAATTGCTGACTATAAAGATTGCTTCAAATCTGTCACCTTGACAGTTAGGATGCTAACTAAGTAAGCAGCTACCTACATAAATAGTATGCAGCAAGGCAACTTGTTAGGTTATAGAAGTGATAATGTCTAGTGTGATTTTTCAGCTCACAAATTCAGTGGATCGCTACATCAACAACTTCCAAGTGGTGGACAACCTGAGCGACAGAGGATCCCTCATAATTCACCTGTTTAAGGTAACCTAACAACCACCCTTATAGTTCATACTTGTTTAGCATGATGTCAATGAAGGCATCATTGAATATTTGTCTTTGTCTGAATGTCCCGGACAGGTGTCCAGCACTCAGACAGACGTGATCTCATTCAGACTGCATCAGAAATTTAAAGTGGGACTCCTTCAGCCTTCTACTGTCACAGTGTACCAGTACTACAACAAAGGTTCGTACACGCATTTAATTAGCTATGTTTGCTAAAGTTCACTGCTAACCTAAACCCTTAAGCATAATACTTTGGCATTCATCTCACCTCCCACTGTTTCTGTTATAGGCATGAATAGCTCAAATTCTGAGCAACTGCTATTACTTGCATAGAAATACGCTAGCAAACATTCAGAACAGCGACATTAGCATTAAAAATCATTAATGCGATTTACCATACTTAGGGCCATTCATACAGAACACTTTTTTTAATTTAAAAACGCGAGACGGAGGGTAGTGGAATGGGAAAAATAACAAAGTTTTTGAATGTTCTCTTTTAAAATCTCTATTAAGTTGGAGTGCTGTATTTTATGCGCAAAACGTAAATATTAAAGGTAGGCTAGGCGATTTCAGAGAGGCTAGCAATAACAAGCTAACTTTGAAAGCATAAGATCTCACCCTCCGTGCAAATCACTCTCCAAAGCCACGCCTCCTCCAAAAGACATGAACGCGCTAAGCAGACCAGAGGCTAACCAGCGACATGATGAGAGATGGCGTTGGTGGAGGGTTGAATGCAATGCTGTCAGATTACCTCATGTCTCGTTCACCGGTGAGAAAACACTACAGTACAAATGCATAATATTACAATAATAACGCGTTCCATTCTCGCTCGGTCTGCAGTAGTGTAATGGAATGCACTGATGACGTATCTTGCCTACGTGAACAGGGTGCGCGGAGGTATGCAAATTCATCTGTTGGGACAGCCTATCGTAGCCCTCGGACCAAGGGATATGATTGGACGAACATTTTATGGTCCTACGCCTTCCACAGACGATATAAATAAAAATAAATACATTTAGACCACTTAACTCAGTGACTGTTATCAGGATGTGAAGATAGTTTCGACCTGCATAACAAAAACATTGAACCAAATCACCTACCCTGCCTTTAACATAACCTGATTGATTCTGTGAGGTCAAGACATTTTAAAGTGTTTTCAAACTTTTTGGTGCCATGGACCCCTAAATATGATGATCTCCTTGCAAGGGACTCAAGCAAGAAAGAATGAAATACTACTTTCTTATAAAATGAACTCTAGTTGTCTTTGTTTTATGTACAACGTCAAATGCTAGTTAGTAAGTCTGAAGTGCTAATCACGGTCTCTGTTGTTTCAGATAAACGCTGTAGCAGGTTCTACTCTCCTCCAGAAGACAAACAGCAGCTTGATCAGATCTGCAAAGACAGTGTGTGCCGCTGCTCACAGGGTCAGTTTAGCTAGACTAACTTTGTGTTTTCAATCATTTTCTTACATAACCATTTATAAAACATTTATAAACCTTTCTTCATAGGTGACTGTTGTGTACTGAAGGAAGACTCCTCGTCTGTTGGTAAAGACCAGCGAAAGGCCGCAGTGTGTAATGGATTACATCATGGTGAATTTATTAAATGAATGTTTTTTTTTGGGGGAAAGCCATCATGATCTCATCGATAAATGTGTCTTTTCTTCAGCCTACAGGGTCAAACTGATCAGCGTCAGCCAGAGTCACTACGACCAGTATGAGATGGCGATTGTGCAGGTTATCAAAGAGGGTACGTCTACTAGAGTCTGACTTTCTCACATAACCAGTCATCTGGCTCATGTATCTCCATCTGTGCTTGTGTAGGGACAGAGGAAGGCTTGAACGAGCAGGAAAGAAGGACGTTCCTCTCTCATGCGAGCTGTAGGCCAGGACTTGGTTTGAGAGAGGGTCAGGACTATCTGATCATTGGGCCCATCACTGATGTTTGGCATGCAGGGGGCACGTCCAACAAGTGAGTAGCGTAATAGCACTGGAAATGTACATATTATGGTTCGTCTTTCATAATTCGGTGGTGTTTTCTCTCTCAGGTATGTGTATACGCTGGGTAAGGACACGTGGGTCGAGCGCTGGCCGTCCGAGTCTGAATGCGGGGCTGGATCCACACTGGAGGAGAAATGCGGCGCGCTGAAGAGCTTCGAAAAGGCACTGACAGAAAGCGGCTGTCAGACTTGAGACAGATGCTGGCAAAACTGGATTTTGAGTCTACGGCATTTTCACATGCATTAAAAAAAACACAACTACCAAAGATATGCTAATAGCCAGTTATTTACTGCTTCATGTGAAACTAATACTCTGAGGTCCTATTATACTCTATATCAAAAATAAAAGTGTTACAAAACTGTGCTGTTACTTTGTATATTTTTAAATGTATTTTTCTAATGAATTATTGTATATTTTTATATTTAATTAGCTAAAAATGATTATTAATTTATTAATATAATGTGAAGTAATATGTCATTTAAAATCCAGACGTGGACAAAAATATTTCTCATGGCCATGAATTAAGAATTTGTTCCCAAAAATAAAACGAGGGAATGAATTAATTAATAGTACAAGATGACCATGAATTAATGGGGGAAATAACACAAAACAAATTAATCTAAATAAATTAAAACGAGGGAACAAATTAGTGTAGCATGACCACATTTTAACAAAATTAAAACAACAAAAAACTGGTACAATTTGGCAATGATTTAACGAAATCGACAAAAATGTGGCCACATTTTTAAGAAATTAAAATGAGGGGAAAAGTTAGTACAATGTGGGCACGATTTAACAAGGGAAATTAAAAAAAAAAAAATTGGTACGAAATAGCCATGATTTAACAAAATTGAAACAAAGAAACATTTTGGTACAGCATGACCACAATTTAATGAAATGAAACAATGAAACAAATTAATACAATATGGCCACAATTGAAATAAATTAAAATGAGGGAACGAATTAGTACAGCATGACCACAACTTAACAAAACTAAAACAACAAAACAAATTAGTACAATGTGGCCGATTTAACGAAATTGAAATAAGGGAACAAATTATTACAGTGTGACCACAGTTTATTAAAACAATGGAATTAATTAGTACAATTTGGCTATGATTGAAATAATTAAAAACAAGGGAACAAATTGGTACAACGTGGCTACAATTTAACATAACTAAACGAGGGAACAAATTAATACAACGTGGCCGATATTTAAAATTTTATATTAAAATTGGGGAATGAATAGGTACAATGCGTCCCCGATTTAAAAAAAAAATTAAAATGAGGGAAGGAATTAATAAAATGAGAACGAATGCCCTAAATGCCACCAGAGGGCGCAATTTAACAAGTAAAGCTGTGAGATCCTCCTCTCCAGTATATTGCTAAACGAGTCAGACATCACATTTCAAATATATACAATCATAAAAATAGTTATAAGGTGAAATTCATTTGAAATCACATTTTCTAAGAAGTGCTCACGGGTTCCTTATATATTCACACACGCAACCAATAAGAGATTGCGCCTGTACAAGTGTGTGAAAGACCCTGAGAGCTTAACATCTAGTCATAACACAGAGGAAGCAAGAAACAATGCCCTCCCTGCCAGCTCATACTGAAGGGCACTGCCAGAGAGGCCTCCTGTTTAGATCGTCTGCTCTGTTTTATGATATTTACAGTAACAGTATGTCCTCATTCACTGGCTCAAATTGTTATAGTGCCATTAAAAAGCACCAGCCATTACAAACCAGGCACGAGGCCAAAGAGGCAATTACTTCCAACATTACACACACACTCTCCTTCCTCCTCTCACTCCGTCCCTCCCTCGTCTCATACGCCCCTTCATCTCAACTCACCTGCCAGCGTTTTAAAGTACCAACAGGTGTGCAGTTCAAAGATAACCAAAGCCAGTTTATCTAAGATAGACCAGAGTTATGCATGACTGAACATATTAGTGATGTTGGGCAGAGTGTGTTTCCCAGGCCAGCACATATATGACTGGCTTTTGTCTGGTATTAAAAATCAAGCCTGATTTAACGTCTTTCAACCACATATGTGGTTAAAATGCTCAACAAATACTATTAGAATAGCTTAATTCTTCTTTGGAGTGATAGAGAGACATTTTTATTTAATTTTCATACTATTGTAACAGGCTGTTATTGTAAGTCATTCCATCTATAACTCACAAGCACAGACCTGCAGTGCTCAATCTCAACATAAACACACTCATACCGTCATTACTGCACTTCAGCTTTTGTGGATTCTCTTACAAATCTTAGAGGTACATGCTTATGATCACAGCTTCTTATACACCAAAATCTCTTTTACTGTATATATATATATATATATATATATATCACCAAAATACATAGTTTATATTTTGTTTTATTATATATATTTTTACTTTATTCACAATCATTTTTGTATTTTATTTATTTATATTTATTATATTTATATTTCAAACTTTATATATATATTTTTAATTATGTAACTATATTTATATATTTCATGTATTTTTTGCAATATCTGAGTAGGCCTATAT